ATTTCACCGCCAATTCGCTCGTATCTAATCACAAATTACTTAATTACAACAATAAGTGCTAAGTGAATCAACCCCAATGCATGAAAATGAGTTTTTCCAAAGTTTTCCCCAAAAAGTCAAAAATAGCCACCAGGCCCACGTGGTCAAAACCCGAGGTTCGAACCAAAACCCAATTACCCGTTCCCCCACGAACTCAAATATATAATTTGTTTTGAAATCGGACCTCAAATTGGGGTCCAAATCCCCAATTTTTGAAAAACCTAGGTTCAACCCAAAACACCCAATTTCCCCCATCAAAATCTTTAATTTTAGGTTGAAATCATGATAAAAGATGTTAATGATTGAAAGAAATGAGTAAAAACTAACTTACAATCGATTTGGAAGAAGATTTGTTCTTGGAAAATAGCCCAAAGGAGTTGTGTTTTGAAAAAGATGTGAAAAATGACTTAAAATCGGCTAAGTATAGAAAAATGCAGGTCTCAGTTGTGGGAAATGCGAACAGGGGTTCGCAATTGCGAACCTCGACCTGCTGATGTGGGAATTGCGAGATAATGTTCGCATTTGCGAACACTTTAAAAAATCCCGGGCTTCGCATTTGCGATCAATAATGTCGCATTTGCGGCTGGCCCTTATTCGCATTTGCGGACCACTTGGTCGCATTTACGATCAAGCTGCACAGTCCCCCTTCTCGCATTTGCAATGCAAGGCTCGCATTTGCGAGACCTGCTTCGAAAATGCGAAGCCTGCAGATCAGAAATACCAGATTTTTTTTCAAGTTAAAAAATGCATCCGTGGCCTATCCAAAACTCACCCGAGCCCTCGGGGCTCCAAACAAAATATACACACAACCTCAAAAACATCCTACAGACTTATTCGTGCGATCAAATCGCCAAAATAACATCGTAAACATCGAATTAGACCTCAAAATCCATGAATTCTTTCAAACTTAATAAAACATCAAATTTACCAATTTAGGTCCGAATCACGTCAAACGACGTCCGTTTTTCACCAAATTTCACAGAAACGTCTTAAATCATATATAAGACCTGTACCGGGCGCCGGAACCAAAATACGGGCCCGATACCATCAGGTTCTAATCAAGGTTCATTTCAAAACCTTATAAATAAAAAACAATTTATTTCAAAAATTCATCTCTCGGGCTTTGGACCTCGAAATTCGATTCTGGGCATACGCCCAAGTCCCATATTTTTCTATATCACGGGTCCCGGTCCGTTTATCCAAAACATTGACCAACGTCAAATTAATTCATTTTATAGTCAAAACTTATCATTTTTCACACAGTTTCTCATTTAAGCTTTCCGGGTACGCGACCAGACTACGCACGCAAATCGAGGTGACTCTAAATGAGGTTTTAAAGGCCTTGGAGTCATAGAATTTAATTTAAAACAAGTGATGACCATTTGGGTCATCACATTCTCCACCTCTAAAATAACCGTTCGTCCTCGAACGGACATAAGAAGGAAGTACCTGAGTCGGGAAAAAGATGGGGATAACGGCTCCGCATATCAGACTCGGACTCCCAGGTCGATGCCTCAGGAGGCTGACCTCTCCACTGAACACGAACAGAAGGAAAACTCTTCGACCTCAACTGACGAACCTGCCGGTCTAGAATAGCCACCGGCTCCTCCTCATAAGGAAAGTCCTTGTCCAACTGGACAGTGCTGAAATCTAACACGTGAGATGGATCGCCGTGATACCTCCGAAGCATGGACACATGAAACACTGGATGCACGACTGATAAGCTCAGCGGCAATGCAAGTCTATAAGCCACCTCTCCCACTCGATCAAGAATCTCAAATGGACCAATGAATCTAGGGCTAAGCTTGCCCTTCTTCCCAAATCTCATCACGCCCTTCATAGGCGACACTCGGAGCAATACCCGCTCACCGACCATAAAAGCCAGATCTTGAACCTTGCGGTCCGCATAACTCTTTTGCCTGGACTGAGCTGAACGAAGCCTATCCTGAATGATCCTGACCTTGTCCAAGGCCTCTTGAACCAGATCCGTACCCAACAACCGAGCCTCTCCCGGCTCAAACCATCCAACCGGAGACCGACACCGCCTACCATATAAAGCCTCATAAGGAGCCATCTGGATGCTCGACTGGTAGCTGTTGTTGTAGGCAAACTCCGCTAAAGGCAAGAACTGATCCCACGAACCTCCAAAGTCAATGACACAAGCTCGGAGCATATCCCCCAAAATCTGAATAGTCCGCTCCGACTGCCCGTCCGTTTGGGGATGAAATGCTGTGCTCAACTCAACCCGTGTGCCCAACTCTCGCTGAATTGCTCTCCAGAAACGCGAGGTAAACTGCGTACCCCGATCTGAAATGATAGATACGGGCACACCATGAAGGCGAACAATCTCCCGAATGTAGATCTCAACTAACCTCTCAGAAGAATAGGAAACTGCCATAGGAATGAAATGCGCTGACTTGGTCAGCCTATCAATAATGACCCATACAGCGTCGAACTTCTTCCGAGTCAGCGGAAGTCCAGTAACAAAGTCCATAGTGATCCGCTCCCACTTCCACTCGGGAAGCTCAATCCTCTGAAATAAACCACCAGGCCTCTGATGCTCGTACTTAACCTGCTGACAATTCAAAAAACGAGCCACATATGCTACGATATCCTTCTTCATTTTACGCCACCAATAATGCTGCCGCAAATCCTGATACATCTTCGCGGTGCCCGGATGAATAGAGTACCGGGAGCTATGGGCCTCCTCCAAAATCAACTCTCGGAGCCCATCCACATTAGGCACACATACTCGACCCTGCAATCTCAAAACTCCCTCATCATCTAAGGTAACCTGCCTGGCATCTCCGCGCTGCACCATGTCTCTAAGGACACACAAATGGGGATCATCATACTGTCGATCACGGATACGCTCCAATAATGAAGATCGAGCGATTGTGCAAGCTAACACACGATTGGGCTCAGAAACATCCAGTCTCACGAACTGATTGGCTAAAGCCTGAACATCCAAAGCAAGCGGCCTCTCACTGACCGGAATATAAGCAAGACTGCCCATACTGGCTGACTTCCTACTCAAAGCATCGGCCACCACATTGGCCTTTCCCAGATGATATAAAATGGTTATATCATAATCCTTCAACAACTCCAACCACCTCCTCTGCCTCAAATTCAACTCCTCTTGCTTGAACAAATACTGAAGACTCTTGTGATCCGTGAACACCTCACATGCCACGCCATACACTACTACAAAAAGAGCATTTGGCGGCAATAAGTCAATTGCCGCTAATATATTCTATAAGCTAAAATATATGCGGCAAATGACCATTAGCCACTAAAAAATAACCTTTTAGCAACAATAAAAATAAATTGCCATTAGAAATTACTAATTAACTTTTAGCGCATAGGTTTTTTTTTTTTTAAATTTCCCTCCCTGCCCAAATAATTAATCTTTCTCTCCATATTTTTAGGACAAGATCGATGATTCCCTCCAATCAGAAAATAATAGGAAAACCTATTACTTCATTGACTCCAATCAGAAAATCATACGAAAACCTATTCCTTCATTGAAATGGATACGGAAGAGACGATCTATTAACAAAATCGGACATATATATAGGTCTCCGGCCAGCCTTTTCCCAGATAACTGCAATTCTTTCCCAGGTATCTTCTCTTTTTACCCAGCCGATGCGATTAACAGTTGAGTTTTGGATTGTGCTGCTCGATTAGGCTCTATCGTCGTTGTTAGTATTCTCTATTTTATCCGTTTCTCACTTCTCTTTTTGTGTAGGTTTCAAGATTGTTTCAGAACTCATTCTTCTCCTTTAGTTTCTTGTCTTTATTGGCAAAACAATCTTCTTACCATGTACAAATTTGTGCCTTCAACTGTTGGGATTTGAGATTTGCGAAAGTACAGTTTTTTCTGCATATGCCAGTTGTTTGTGATATCCGACTGCTGTTAAATAGACGTGGGATGATTGGGTTTATTCCTCCTCTGTTCCTTGACTATTTTTTTGATTTTGTTCCTCTGTTTTCTGCTATTCTTGTGATTATTCAGAAATTTCTAAGTGTCGTCGATGCATTCAATCTACCACTAGTCGAGATGTTGTGTGTAATTTTCATTGTCGTCGATGCATAGTGGTGTCAAATCTTTATATTTTCTTACCTTGACGTCTCTGTGGAATACACCTCTACTATGACAGTAGTCAACTGCATTTGTTCCTTTGTATATTTTCTGTTATTCTTGTCATTGTTCAAAACATTTCATTGTCGTCGATGCATATCGGTGTCAAATCCTCTGTAGTCAATAGTTTGACATAAAATACAGAAAGTGCAATGCTGCTATTGCTTGGCCTCATTAGCTCGAAACTCGTTTTCCCTTTACTATTCATAAATAACAAATCTTGGACTCTCAATATAAATCTCACAGTCATAGTTTTGGCTGTCTACTACAAAATAGGTCTTTGGCGATAATTATTTAGCGGAAATAAGGTAATTGTCGCTAATGAATTATTTAAGCTGAAATATTAGCGGCACATGATCAATAGCCACTAAAAGATGTCCCTTTACCGACAATAAAACAAAATTACCGCTAAAAACACTAATTGAAATCAACTTTTTTATTATTTTAACTTTCCCTCGTACAAAAATAAAATATTTCCCTGCAATTTTTTTGGACAAAAAATTCCATTCCCTCCGATTAGAAAATAATAGGAAAACATATTCTCTTCAAAATTGAAGACTCAGCCAGTCGCCAATTTGAAGGTGAGGCACGCCGAGCAAATTAGTTTAACTGTTTGATGGTTTTAATTGTTTAAATGATAGTTTTAATAAATTTCCGTTTAGTAGTTTTAATTGTTAAAATGATTTTTTGAGCCATGGAATTACCTGCTAATAGGATGGTTATTTTATTTTAACTACATTTTTCATTAATTTCACCTTTTCACTAACGTATTTTTAGCTCTTTCAGTAATTATAGAAAAGAAAAGACTATCTTGAACGTCATGGACAATCCTACAAATAAAAGATGGATGTATTGTGAAAGAGTTAGCAAAGAATATTTGGATAGAGTAGAGGATTTTTTAAATCATGCCTTTTCTGAAAAACAAGATGGAGAAAAAATTGCATGTCCTTGTACGGAGTGTGTGCTTATCCATCAAGTTAATCGGGCTACAACATATGATCATCTTGTGGTTAATGGTATTATACCATCATATGATACTTGCTTTTGTCATGGTGAATCTCTAAAGGGATCAAACAATGCTGAAGCAAATAATCGCAGTCAGTCAACTCAAAGGGGCGATGATATGAGAGGAATGATACATGATGTATTTGCAGGTGTTACACAGTTCATGGATACTTTTGACGTTAGTGAATTAGGTGGCATAGAGCAAGACTTACAAGAGAATACTGCTCATCCATCTGGAAATCAACCTCATCCAGAGGTGGATAAGTTTGAACGGCTCATGAAGGAGGCAAATGAAGAATTATATCCTGGATGTACGAAGTTTAGCAAACTCTCCTTTTTGCTGCATTTGTATTGTACAAAATGCATGTTCAAGTGGTCAAGTGAATCTTTTAGTTCTTTGCTTGGACTATTGAAAGATGCATTGCCTGAAGGAGAAAAATTACCTCCTTCTTTCTATGAGACCAAAAAGATAGTTGAAGGCTTGGGCTTAAAGTATGAAAAAATCCATGCTTGTCCCAACGATTGCATGCTTTTTAGGAAAGAGTTTGCTAATAAGAATGTTAATGAATGCAAAGTATGTGGGGCTTCTAGATGGAAAAATGATGCCAGAAAAATTCCAGCCAAGGTCTTAAGGTATTTTCCTTTAAAACCAAGGCTACAGAGATTGTTTATGTCTTCAGAAACTTCTAAAGCAATGCGATGGCATCATGATGAGCGCACCAAAGATGGAGTTTTACGACATCCTGCAGATTCTGAAGCTTGGAAAAATTTCGATGGTAAATATCCCGAATTTGCTGGAGACCCTCGCAATGTGCGCCTAGGATTAGCTTCTGATGGGTTTAATCCATTTGGCACAATGCGAACTGTTCACAGTACATGGCCAGTGATTTTAATGCCATATAATCTTCCACCATGGATGTGCATGAAACAAGAGTTCTTCATATTGTCCTTACTTATTCCTGGACCAAAAGCACCTGGCTATAATATTGATGTCTTTTTGCAACCTTTAATCGAAGAGTTAAATGAATTGTGGGATGTCGGGGTAGAAACATATGATGCCTCGACTAAGGAGATATTTCAAATGCGAGCTGCTCTCATGTGGACTATAAATGATTTTCCAGCATATGGTAATCTCTCTGGATGGTCCACTTATGGTCGGTTTGCCTGCCCTTCTTGTAACATAAATACTCAATCTAGACGGCTCAAACATGGTAGAAAGTTTTGTTATATGGGGCATCGACGCTTCTTGAAGTCGGGACACAAATATCGAAATGATGCAAAATCGTTTGATGGGACTAAAGAAACAAGACATTCACCTTGTCCAGTATCTGGGTCACTAGTGTTGAATCAAGTTAAAGATATAGAATTTACTCTCGGCCAGTCGAGTGAAGGGGTAAGTGGTGTGATGAAAAATACATGGAAAAAGAGGAGTATTTTCTTCAATCTTCCTTATTGTAAGTCTAACTTGGTGCGCCATAATCTTGATGTGATGCACATAGAAAAGAATGTGTGTGATAACTTACTTTATACATTATTGGATCTTGGTAAAAAGTCAAAAGACAACTTAGAAGCTCGATTGGACTTGAAGGAGATGAAAATAAGACCAAGTTTATGGCCTCAATATCGAGCTATTGGGAAAGCATATCTTCCTCCTACTTTCTTCACAATGTCTCAGAAGGAAAAAGAGTTATTTTATGAAGTACTACTAAATGCCAAGTTTCCATATGGCTATGCGTCTAATATCTCACGTTGCATTCGCAAACGAAAGATATTTGGGCTAAAAACTCATGATTGTCATGTTATAATGCAAGAACTTCTTCCTCTTGCCTTGCGGAGATCAGTAGATAAAAGAGTTAGGTCCATTTTAATTGAATTATGCACATTCTTTCGTGTTCTATGTAGAAAAGAACTAAAACTAGAAGATTTAAAGTTATTTGAAGAAAAAATTCCAGAAACATTATCTACTATGGAGAAACTTTTCCTCCCAGGATTCTTTACTGTTATGATACACTTGGTTATTCACTTGGCAACTGAGGCTAAATATGCGGGGCCAGTACATTGTCGCTGGATATACCCTATTGAGAGGTATGAAGAATATCACTAAATCTTTATTATATATTTTTTTGTTATTAAATATTATAATATCAAACTAATACCATTATTTTACTCCATAGGTATTTGGGTACTTTAAAATCATATGTTCGTAATCGTGCATGTCCAGAAGGTTCCATAGCAGAAGCATACATAGCAAATAAGTGTATGGCATTTTGCTCACGATATTTGGAGGGTGGAGATTCAAGGTCTTATTGTTCAAGAAAATGCGCCAATGAGATTGGGCAGGAGACTAGTAAAGAAGAATGTCTTTTTCCAAATAGTGGGGAGTCGTACGGTGGAGTAGGTGTATTTGAGTTGGATGCAAAAATATGGTTGCAAGAACATCGGCATGTAAATTTTAATTGCGAGTCAGAGGTGGTTGAGAATTATAAAAAGTAAGTGTTATATATATATATATTATTTATTATATGTATATTACTTATTTGAGAACAAAATTGATATATTCGAGTTACATGAATAGGGAACATATTGCTGAAATCAAGAGATCACATCATAAGTGTCGTTTGACACAACATCAACTTGACCTTGTGCATTTCGATACATTTCACGAGTGGTTCAAGGAGCAAGTAAGTAGTAGGACTAAGTCGATGGTTACGTTAAATTATTTTCCTTGTACATATATCCATATTTATAGTTGTATCTTTTATTTGGTTAGATAAAGGAGTTGGAAGCCACATCTAACATCTTAAAGGATGTTAAAGTCCTTGCACAAGGGCCGAGTTACATTGCCAAAAGATTCAGTGCGTTCGATGTAAATAACGAGTATCGATTCCGAACGAAACAAAGTGAAGAATTTAAGGTGACACAAAATAGTGGTGTTATGGTCGTTTCAAAGACTGAAAGTTATGCAAGTACAAGTGACAATGCTCCAAAGTCTGCAAATATCACATATTATGGCAGATTGAATGATATTGTGGAGTTAAATTACTAGGAAGAATTTAAAGTCGTCTTATTTAAGTGTGATTGAGTTGATGTAACCAAAGGTAGAGGAGTTAAGGAAGACGACTTGGGGTTCACACTTGTGAATTTCTCACGCCTAACAGACTCTGGCGATCGAGAACGTCATGAGCCCTTTATTTTTGCAGAACAAGCTCAACAAGTTATATTTGTACAAGATCCTGAAGATCATGAATGGTTTGTCCCTAGGTTAATTAAACCTCGAGATATTTTTAATATGGGAGAGGAAAATAGTGTGCAGTTTGAGTCATCAATGCAAAGTGATGCCACTGACTTGGCTCTTTTAGAAAATGCTCGTGTTATGGAAGATGAGTACAATGATTGGGTAATAAGTGGTGTCGATGGGATAGTAATTGATATTGAAAATGACGGTGAAGCTAATGTTGAGGGAGGAAATGACATTAAAAACGAATGTGATTCTGAATAGAATAGGTGAAACTTATAGAATATTTTTCTTGCAAGTGTTATTTAAGAACTTCTAAGGTTTTGTTATTTTTTTAATTCAGAAATTTGAATATTGGTGTTTGAGTTGATTTGTTGTGCTATTTTTTACTTATATTTTGCTTATTGTATCTATTTAATTATTATATTCTAAGGTGGTATTATCACTGTATAATTGTTTTTCCTAATGCATCAATAACTCTTATCTCTAGATTAGGTTGATGCTTCCTCCTGTTTTGCATTTGATCTACTGATTTGTTGGAGTTAATTGGTACTAGTATAACTTAATACATCTAAATAATTTATTCATTTTGGAGAAGGAACTATCCGAACTAGAGGTCGCAATCAATTGATAATTGAAATCGTAACCAAGCTATTGAACAAGATGGTCAAAACCACTCTGCAACCCAGCCTTATATTGAGCAGTTGATGGATAATCGGAACTGCTCTGAAGATCAAGCACATGATGATCGATCTAATGAGTTGAATAGTTCTGCTGGTGGCACTGAGTATCAACATAATGATGATGAATCAGGTAATACTTTTCTTTGTGATTGTTTTCAATCATAGTTATGTGAAAACTTTGGTTACCCTAACCAGTTTATATTGTATAACTAGTTATGCTTCCCTAGCCATCTGTTTGTTGTAAGAATTGTTGGATGGTACAGTTGTTTTTACTGTAAGAATTGTTCCATCCTTCTCCAACACCACTTCTTGCTAGAGCTGGCATTGTCCATTGAAACATATATTTTTTTTGCTTTCTGTTATTTTATCATGATACTGTTATTTAAGATTTCAGAGCATCTCTCAGGTGCTTATCCATATAAGTTTTTGTCATTTGATGACCTTCGAGTTTTACATTCTAGGTAATTCGGAGCCAAGAAAGGTTCGTGAGCCTACTTTACTAAAAGATATTTGGAAACTTCCGCCGGGGAAGACAATTGATGTGCCGTTTAATAATCGTAACCAAGCTATTGGGAAAGAGGGTCAAAAGCTTGCTAGCTTTCTAGGAATTATTGCCAGAACTCCCGAGCTAACACCTCTACATGTAGATGATTGGAGAAATTTTGACAAAGAGGAAAAGAAGAAATTAGTGGATTTTGCGAGGGTATGTAATTATTATTATTATTACTTGTAGTCTGTTTTGTATTTGCTGCCCTATTTACACTTTGCTCTTCATCATCTGCTGGATCACCTCTAATTTCCTCCTCACTTTGCATCTCATCAGGAATTAGACCATTGAAAGCTCTTTTTACCCATTGTGAAGTCGTTTCCTTATTCTGCTGATCCTGAGTTCTTTTTTCTTTGTTTCTTGCCTCTTCACCATTGTTGTTGCTATTTCTTGCTGGACTAGATGTTTTTTGGCTAACAGTATACTGAATTTTGACCTTTATTTGCTTCATTTGTATTCGTATTAGCTCCCTTGTTTTGTTTGTCAAGAACTGGTGCCTTTGCTGGATTAAATACTGGTGCTGCAGGATTCAGAGTTGTATTTTCCTTTTGAATAGGGCTGCCTCTTTGCCCAAGATTCTCATCAACCAAAACCAACTGATTATTCTCATTACCTTCACTATATGTTCTATCAATTTCATGTGCTATTCTGCTGAAAATAGTGCATCCAGCTTCCTCAGGACCAAAGTTGGACAAGAGCTTCTTGTGAATCAAGATTGGATGACAGTGTGTGTTTGTGTGTGCGCATGTATTGGTTAATAAGATTGGCTACTAGTATACTAGTGACTAGTCTTTATGTTATTGGCTGCAACGACCTAGCAACATGGAGATTTATTCTGTTAGCCACAAATGCTCTGTCCCGACTATATGTTCTATCAATTTCATGTGCTATTCTGCTGAAAATAGTGCATCCAGCTTCCTCAGGACCAAAGTTGGACAAGAACTTCTTTTGAATCAAGATTGGATGACAGTGTGTGTGCATGTATTGGTTAAGAAGATTGGCTAAGAGTATACTAGTGACTAGTCTTTATGTTATTGGCTGCAACGACCTAGCAACATGGAGATTTATTCTGTTAACCACAAATGCTCTGTCCCGACTATATGTTCTATCAATTTCATGTGCTATTCTGCTGAAAATAGTGCATCCAGCTTCCTCAGGACCAAAGTTTAGTTTTATCTGACCCACACAGAATTGTCGAACTTAAGCATGCATTTTGTCTGCCTTATAGCAAGTAAAGCACCACATCATTTTGTTGATCAGCTGGTACAATTTCCTTGCCAGTTTTAGCCACACCAATAGTCACCTTATCTTTTGATACATGATGTTATCTTCTAAATGTTGGATTTTATTTTTTCAGAAGAAGTTCTCTATCCCAAAACGTGGAGAAGCGTGGGTCTTAAAGTCACTAGGAAAGAAATGAAAAGATTGCAAGTGTGATTTGAAGGGTGAGTATACGCCAAAATATAAGACTAAAGACGCATTACTAAAAAATAGACCAAGTCGCATACCGAGGGATCAATGGAGTGGTCTTGTCTCTTATTGGCTTTCTGATAAAGCCAAGGTATGAACCTTGAAAATTCTCCTAGTCTGCTCATTTTCATAGCGTTTTTATTTTAGTTATGCTCAATTTTTTTTTATGATTTATAAGATATATTTTTAATATTTCAATGACAGAGACGTACCCAAGCAAATAGAAACAATAGGGCCAAGCAAACGATGCCTCACACAGGAGGATCCAAAAGTATTGCTATTTTGATGAATGAGCAGGTAAACTTTTGAAAATTACAAACTATAATATTTTAAACCTTTTTTGTCACGCATATCTGATACCATTTTTATTGTATTAGGCTGTAAATGGGATTGAGCCTACACGAGCAGAAATTTTCTTATTAACTCATAAAAAGCGTAAGGATGGTAGGCCACTGGATGATGATTCTGTCAAGACAATCGTAAGATTTATTCATGCTTTTATTTTGTTGGTTTGATGACTCCGTCAAACAATGTGCATTTTTTCCTGCTCATGAATTCCAAAATTGATTTATTGTGTATTCTATGGTCAGGAAATGATAAATGAAGGGATAAGCAATAGTGAGAGATCTACTGAGCAACCTCCTCGTAGTGTTGCTTGGGAAGGTGATGTGTATTCTCAGGTGTTAGGAAATAAAAAAAGTGGGTACGTTCGTGGTTTAGGACTTGGTCCAACTCCTTCTGTTCTATGGGGTAGTAGGTCTTCCTTAGGAAATATCATTGCAGATGATTCTTCTAATGAGGTTATACAAAGGTTAGAACAGAAGATAATCGAGTTAAAGGAGAAACAAAATGAAGAAATGAATATGATGAAACAAAATCAGGAGATGATGCAATCAAAATTACTCCAAATGAGACAACTCATGTGCAAATATGCTCCTGATGCATCTATGCCTCAAAGTAGCAATGGCACCTCAGGTGAACAGGTAACTCCATTTCATAAACTTTAGCCATTTTTAATGAAATTCTAATCATATAAAAGTATTGTTATCTAACATGTTAATATTTATTAGATCCCTGATGCCAATAGTGGACATGAACGAGTACCACAAACATCAAGGATGCCTAGTTTTGCTGAAAATGCTCAACCTTCTCATGGTACTACTCATCTTTGTCCTTTCGTCGCTATTATTTGAGTTTTTCTCCTTCGATTTTCATTAATTTGTTGTTGTATTTAGGCTTACCTTGGATGCTTCTTGCTTTTATATTTCCCTCACTGTTGTTGACGTCGCATTGGTTGTGAGAATTTTTAGAAGTACAAGACATACTAGCATGTGTTGAACATTTCGATTATAGCCTGCCTAGGAGTTTCCTTCTTGTAAACAAGGAAAGAAAGTAGCAGACAAATTTAAATATATTAGCTATGTGCTATTTAAGTTTTTCTATTTTAATAGGTTTTTAGTTCTATGTCCTACACTTTTGCACGTTGGCCTTGCATTGTTTGCTCCAAAATTCGTGTGACCTCCAGTTGTAAATCGATGAAGGTTTTGGATGAGACCAAATCCATGCCACTGATACACAAAGGATAGAACTATGTAAGGGAGATTCACTAAAAGTAGGAGGAACCATTACAAAAGAAGAAACCTTAAACCTCTTGCTTCTTGATCCTTCTGTACTGCTACTGCTGCTGCTTCCACCACTCATAATATCTGGACTGCTAACCATTATCTGATCTGATCCAAGAAAATATTCACTGGATCTGATGATCCATTATCTGAGTCCAGCCCAAGTTGTCTAAAAGCAGTCCATTCACTGCTACAATCCGACACACTTGAATTTTTCCAAGATGATAGATCATTATTATTGTTTTATCAGTTACATGTGGAAGTACTCTAATACTTGGCTGCACAACTTTATCTATTTTTTTCATGTCCATATGATGACTTTGGTATTGGTGATAATTGTTCTTGAAGTGGAAAATTCTAGCAAATGTGAAATGGTCACTTACTCTATTCTTGGATGATGACGACTTATTTTCTGAGTTCCTAGCTAGCCATGATGCTTTGTAAATTCTTGCTTAGTAGCTTTTAGTGAAGAAAAACTGAGACCATGTTTGCTATCATTTGATTGCAACATATTTATTGATTGATCATGATCTGAGTTGGGATTTCAGAGAGTACAAGCAAAATTTGTTCGTGCATTTTCCCCACGTATGGCTCGAGCAGCTTCATCGTAGGCACGAGCAGCTTCTTCAGGAGTATCATATGTTCCTAGCCATAATCTTACACGTTAGGATGGGTCCTTGATCTCAGCAACCCATCTTCCAGATGGTCTTTGTCTTACACCATTTAGTGTAGAGAAATAAAACACAATCTTTTATTTCTCTACACTAACTTCCATATTTCCTGTTTAAAGAAAGTATTCTGTTTAAAGTGAAAGAAGCACTGGTTATTTTAACTTACCTAAACGTGTTTCGCTTATGTACTTGTCACCTCCCTTCTTCATATTCAAGCGCTCTTCTGTTGGACATTGGTTATGATTAAATACATCACTCCTCCACACTGCTCTGTCTTCTCGTTTCAACCCAAACCAAGCAAAGGATGGAGGTTGCTCTGTCTTTTCAGGCCTCTTGCTTTGGTGTTGTAACAATTAGGGGATTAAAATAAGAGAGTATCATTTTCTCCTTTGCCCAAAAACTTAAATCAGTGATAATGAAAAGTCAAACTATTTGCCTTTTCATTCTTGTTTTCAACCCAAACCAAGCATAGAAGAAGATAATTCTGCTTAACTTTCTCCTCTACTTTCACTACCATTTTCCCTTGTTACTGTTCCTTTTCCTATTTTCCCAGCATAGGGTAAATTTCTGCTCACATTGATTCATTCTAATAGTGAGATCGTTCAAGGAACGTCCTTACCTTGATTTTACATGTAATGTCCTCACGATCCAATTATTAATTTGGGATGGAAATAGTGATGTTATCCATTTAGAGATAAGAGACTTTTGCTAACTTCCGCTTTGATGAAGTTCTAGATGATGTGGAACAAAGTACTGAATGGAGTTAACCTAGAGTTCCCCATCTTGATTCATTATTGGTGATAATTGTTTCCCTCTTGTCTATATGTTTTGGCTTCTTTTGTTTTGGCTCTTTGTACTGCCATATGACGTTTGGGTCATTAAGAGCTTTGAGTTCCATGCTGTTGATACACGAAAGATGAAACTTTGAAATGATTCTGAGTTCACCCTTTCTGATGGCGGTTCTTTTTCCAGTTATTGTTGTTAATTATCTGAATTTCATGTGCTAGTGCTGGTATCTTCCTTCCAGTTGTGCTGCATCGTTGTCATTGCTTCAGTTTTCTTATCTTATGCGCACATGTATGTGTTATACAGGCACTTGGTGATAGATTATTGGAACATTTTTGTTCTTTCGATATTCTTTTGACACAATTATTTTATAATTTCAGGTCATACCGTCTGATGTTGGATAATTTAGCGGGTGAAAGATTTCAAAATAATGAAAAGTTGCGGAAATCATTTGAAGACCATCATTTGGATTAGTTATATAATGACATTAGCTATTTAGTCTAAGCAATATATTTTTATGTTTTAAGTTACTGTGATATTAATATTTTTGATTAGTACTTCCTTTTGTTTGTTAAGATTAATGAGATACATTATATTTTTTTTGAATTAATATTAATATATTTTATTATTTGAGTCATATTATGTACGAATGTAGTAACTGTCATTAATTGTGGCTAAACTATTTATAATTGATGTAAAACAAAATGCCGTTAAAGATATTGACTTTTAGCGGTAATTTAGTTAATCATATTAGCCATTAGAATGGAAGCTAAAAGGGCAAACTAAGATGTTTTCAGAAGGGATACTATGGCCATTTTAATTGCCACAAAATAATTGCCGTTAAAGATGCGAACATTTAGCGGCAATTATTTTGAATTTAGCGGCTATAAAAATGGATGCTAAAGGAGAATAATTAGCCATTATGGATTGGATTTAGTAGCCATAATAATTGCCGTTAATGATGTGAACTTTTAGCGGCAATTATTTTGAATTTAGCAGCTATACAAAATGGTTGCAAAAGCAGTATAATTAGCCGTTATGGATTAGATTTAGCAGCCATTATAATTGCCGCAAACAATTGCCGTTAAAGATAATAATCTTTAGCGGCAATAAACAATACCTTTTACCAGCTTTTGTGACAATAGCCGCTAAAGGCTTTAGCGACCCCAACATCAGCGGCTAAACACCAATGGCCGGTAAAAGATATAGCGGCTATTGTTATTGCCGCTAAAATCGTTTTGTATTGCCGCTAAGCACCCTTTTTGTTGTAGTGATATAGATAATGCCTCCAAATCTTCAATGCGTGAACTATGGCTGCCAACTCCAAATCATGAACCGGATAGTTCTTCTCATGAATCTTCAACTGCCTCGAAGTATAGGCAATGACTTTGCCATCCTGCATCAACACTGCCCCAAGCCCAACACGGGAAGCGTTACAATAAACTGTATAAGGCCCTGAACCTGTGGGCAAAACCAACACCGGTGTCGTAGTCAGAGCTGTCTTGAGCTTCTGAAAGCTCGCCTCACACTCATCCGACCACCTGAATTGGGCACCCTTCTGGGTCAATCTGGTCATCGGGGCAGCAATAGATGAAAACCCCTCCACAAACTGACGATAGTAGCCTATCAATCCCAAGAAACTCCGAATCTCTGTAGCTGATGCTGGTCTAGGCCAGTTCTTGACTGCCTCAATCTTCTTTGGGTCCACCTGAATACCCTCCGCTGATAAACCATGACCCAGAAATGCAACTGAACTCAACCAGAATTCACACTTCGAGAACTTAGCATATAACCGACTATCCCTCAGAGTCTAAAGAACCACTCTAAGGTGCTGCTCGTGCTCCTCCTGGCTGCGAGAATATATCAATATATCATCAATGAAGACTATCATGAACGAGTCCAAATAAGGCCTGAACACTCGGTTCATCAAGTCCATAGAAGCTGCTGGGGCATTTGTCAACTCAAATGACATAACCAAGAACTCATAATGCCCGTACCGAGTGCGGAAAGCTGTCTTAGGGACATCGGATGCCCTAATCCTCAACTGATGGTAGCCAGATCGCAAGTCAATCTTGGAAAATACCTTGGCACCCTGAAGCTGATCGAACAAATCATCAATCCTCGGCAGCGGATACTTATTCTACACTGTAACCTTGTTCAATTCCCGGTAATCAATACACATTCTTATTGACCCATCCTTCTTCTTAACAAATAACACCGGCGCACCCCAAGGTGAAACACTGGGTCTAATGAAACCCTTCTCAAGCAAGTCTTGCAACTGCTCCTTTAACTCTTTCAACTCAGGTGGCGCCATACGATACGGCGGGATAATGGGCTGAGTGCCCGGAACCAGATCAATGCAGAAGTCAATATCCCTATCGGGTGGCATACCCGGCAGGTCTGAAAGGAAAACCTCAGGGAACTCTCGAACAACGGGCACAGAATCAATAGAGGGAACCTCATCACTAGAATCACGAACATACGCCAAATAGGCCAAACACCCCTTCTCGACCATACGTCGAGCCTTCACATAAGAGATAACACTACGGGTAGAATGACCAGAAGTCCCTCTCCACTCTAAACGAGGCATACCCGGTAAGGCTAAGGTCATAGTCTTGGCATGACAGTCCAAGATAGCGTGGTAAGGTGATAACCAGTCCATCCCCAATATAATTTTGAAGTCAACCATGTCTAAAAGCAACAAATCTACACGAGTCTCAAGACCCCTAATAACCACAATACAAGAATGATGGACTCGATCGACCACAATAGAATAACCCACCGGTGTAGAACATAAACAGGAATACTCAATGCATCACTAGGCATGACCAAGTACGGGGAAAAATAAGATAACACATACGAATACGTAGACCCCGGATCAAATAACACTGAAGCATCTCTATCACAAACCAGAACCGTACCTGTAATAACTGCATCTGAAGCCTCAGCCTCGGTCCTGTTCTGAAGAGCATAACATCGGGACTGGGCCCCACTACTCTGATCTACCTCTCTGGGACAGCCTGTAGCTCGCTGGCCTCCACCTCTAGCGGCCTGAGCTCCACGTCTAGTACCTATACCTCCACCTCTAGTACCTCTACCCCCACCTCTAGCTGGCTGGGCGGGCTGTGGAACACCTGGTGCCTGAACTAGGGCACGGGAACCCTACTGCTGAGAGCTACTCGGTGCTCGAGGGCAAAACCTAGCAATGTGACCCGTGTCACCACAAGTGTAACAAGCCCTCAGCTGCTGAGACTGCTGACCCGGTCGACCTGAATGACCACCCCGGAAACTCTGAAGCGGCGGTGCACTGATAGGAGCTGGCGGTGCACTGATAGGAGCTGGCAGTGCAATGAAGGGCTGCTGATCAGAATAGTGCGTGTGAGAACCACGGCCACCTGAAGCACCGTGAGAAACCTGGAGTGCTAACTGAAAGGGCCTAGGAGAATGACCTCTATCATACGAATCTCTGCCTCCAGACGAGGCGCCACTGAATCTGCCTGACTGACGGGGTCTCTTGTCTGCCCTATGACCACCCCACTGCGATAATACCATCTCAACCCTCCGGGCCACATTGGCTGCCTCCTGGAAGGATATCTCACTCCCAGCCTCTCTGGCCATCTGAAGACGAATCGGCTGGATGATTCCATCAATAAACCGTCTCACTCTCTCCCTCTCAGTGGGAAGTATAATAAGAGTATGGCGAGCCAAATCAATGAACCTGGTCTCGTACTGGGTGACTGTGATGGATCCCTGCTGGAGACGCTCGAACTAACTTCGATAGGCCTCTCGCTGTGTAATAGGGAGAAACTTCTCCAGAAATAGTTGCGTGAACTGCTCCCAGGTCAAAGCTGGCGATCCTACTGGTCTAGCTAAGCAATAATCCCTCCACCAAGTCTTGGCGGATCCAGACAAGCGAAATGTAGCGAAATCAACCCCATTGGTCTCAACAATACCCATGTTCCGAAGAACCTCATGGCAGCTGTCCAGATAATCCTGGGGATCCTCGGTAGATGCACCGCTGAAGGTAGTAGTGAAGAGCTTGGTGAACCTGTCCAATCTCCACAAAGCATCGGCAGACATAGCTGTTGATACCCAATTTTTCACTATGTATTTTTGTACCCAAAATACTTCCTAAATAGCATATGTGTGCATATATAAGCACACCCATGAGTTTTGGTATCTTTCATGATTTTTAAACCAATTTATTGCCTGTTTTAATACCACAAAAATCCAAAATTATTCCCAAATTATCATTTTTGGTGAGTAACTTATTTCATTCTCATGTTTACACCAAAATATAAGTAAGATAATTTTTGCATATTTTTTACAAATTCATTTGGCATTTTTAAAGCTAAATTGCATATAATTGCAATCATAGCCTATCTTGTAATTTTTAGCATTTTATAATTATAAAATTAATCCCAGCATTTTTAAATTAATATTTATACAATATTTATTTACCCAGTACTCTTAATTTACTTTTAAAATTGTGTTACTATTTTATAAACAAAATTAAAAAGGGAAAATTGGCTATTTACGATTTAGCCCCAATGCATTTCAATTATAGCCAAATTGATAACCCAATTTAGCCCCAATTTGAGCCCAAATCACCCCAGCCCAATTACCCAATCAACCCGACCCAGTACCCATTAAATGAAACCTGCCCGCTTTCTTTTAATCTGAGCCGTTGATCATTTTTGATCAACGGCCCAGACCTCCCCTTTCCTTTTTTAATTTCAAACGACCCCAAACCCTACCCCATTCCTCACAATACGCCGCCTCTGAATCCTCCTCTTTTCTCAACTCTCTCTCAACTCACCTCAAACCCTAGCCGCCGCCTCTCACTGAAACCCTAATCCATGGCTTCCCCAGACTCATCGGAGGCCTATACCGGCCTCCCATGGCTTCTATGCGCTCATCTCTGAGGTCCTATGACCAGATCTTGAAGGGGTCTCGACCAAGCCGTTGCTCAATGGCTGTTCTCCGGTCGCCTTCAACCTCTGTCCGGCTAGCTATGGCCATTCGAGCTCGATCTTCGACTATCCTGCCTGGATCTGGAGTTTCCAAAGCCTTTCTCGTCGCCTGGGTTTCTTATGAAACCCTAGCTCTAAGGTTCCTTCTATTTATTTCTTAGATTTGCTCCAAGATCTATATGTGTTTGAACGTTATGAGCATGTTTCTCAAAGTTTCCCCAATTTTTTGCGTTCAAAACTCTATGTTCTTTTAACTACGGTTTTAGGTTAAGTTATTTTGAAGTTCCTCTCTTATTCATGGCATGTTTCTGACTTTGTTTGTTTGTTTTCCTTATCTGAGTAAGCATGTTGAAAACCCTAATTTTGTGATTGTTTGAGTTTGTTTGTTAAGGTTTCATTCGATTCATACGCTGATCATCTCTAGGTTTGTTTGATGTTAAAAACCCTAATTTTGGGAATTTATTCGAGTTCATGAGCCTATCTGTTTGGTTTACTGAAAACCCTAATTATTAAGGGTTTCACTTGGGACTCTGAAATTGCTTGTTGTTTCACCTGTTTGTCGTCTCTAAACTCAACTGATTTGAAAACCCCAGTCTCTTTGGGAGG